ATCAAACATCCTGTTAATTTCTACCTCACCTCTATTAAATAACTTCTCATTCCTGGTGGTCCAAACTGTCCAGACAATACAAACCAAGCTATTTCCCAGCCCTTACTCATGCTGGTTGAAACTGAAAAACCTTCATGTTGATGGCAGGCATCCCAAACATTTCCAGCCATAACAGTTTTTATTCCCCACCGATTACAGCATTTGGTCCAAAGGTGTGAAGTTACCTTGCAATTGAGAAACAAGTGCCCACCAATTATAGTATTGGTGAGTGTGTCTAACTAAAAGGCATACCAATAATTTTCCTAATAAATTATAGGCATTTAGTTTGAATGTAGTAGAGGAAATTTTTTTTTCTTTCTTTTATTGTTTTAACTTGTCAATCTCATAAAGCTTAAATCCATAAAAAAACAAATATTTAATAATATTCATATGTATTCCCAACCTATGTGAAATAAATACATGGATTTCAAAATGGTGATTGTTAAATTTCAGCCAAACAACATATTTCTAAATGCTTGTACTTTCCACACATGAAAATCAAATTTAAGTTACCAAATTGCAACCTAAGTTAGATATTTGAATTCAAATCTCACTTTCAATAATTGTTTTTCATTGCTAATTAAACAACAAACTAAAAAATTTATCTAACTTTATAAGATTTATAACTTTTAGGAGGGAGTTAATTGCTATAAAAAATAAAATGTCGTCCATTGGAAAGAAGATTAGTCAAAATAAAGTATTATTTAAATAGCATAAAGAAAAAATTTATCAAAAACATGAAAATCAACATGGTATTTCTAAATATGTGGAGATCGATGATAGTAAAAACCAAAGATAGTCCTTTAAAAAAAGTTAATCGTGTCACTATTGATAATAAATCATTGACCATGAAGAGTGATAAAGGATTTGGTGAAGAATCAATTTAGGGTGAATGGTGTAATTTTACTTTATAAAATTTAGTTTAGGTCTAACATGAGTTTAAATAAAAATAAAGTGAGTGCATATATTGCAACTAGAAGTTGGTTTTCAAAATTTAATATGGTTATTCTATATTCTAAAGAATTAAAGAACCTTAAATATATCCCTAGGAGATATCTCAACAATTAATCAAGAACTTAAGATTTTACCTTGGAGATCAAATTTTAAATTCTAAGGCAAAGCGAGAAAACCATTTCATCTTGCATATATACCCCATCATTCAAAATACCAGAAAAAAAAAAAAAAAAACACAAAAACAAAGCTTAGATACAAAAAAAAAAAGAAAAGGAAGAGGCTGCATCAAAAAGTTGATTATCAAAGGTGAACATAAAAAGAGAAGAAATACTGTTTAGATTCACTAGTTTTCAAGGACAAGGAAACTCATCCAAG